ATATTCCCCGTGCTACTACGCCGTTTTTTTTCTGTGTCGTGCGGGATATCGTGGCGTGATTTCATTGGGTACGCACCGTCCTCTACGTGCGTAGTACTGATGTAATATTTTTTCTTATCAGTGGCTGTAGGTAGACTGGTGTCCTCCGACAATATACTGAAAGTGGATAGAGAGAGAGAAAGGTAAAGGTAAAGCAGCTGAGAAAAGAATGCATTAATTCATGAATTCACACACATCGACATCTATGCAACAGCTAGAACATTAATATTTACAAATCTAGCCCATTCTTTCATTTATTTTTGAAATTATTATTCATATAAATACTAAATTTTAGATTATATAAATATAAAAAATTACATCTTTATTATGTTTTATGTGAGATAAGTTTAGTTTGGAGTAATATTATTAAAAAAAGGAAAAGTTTTAAATTTCTTAGATTCTTTTTAGTATGCCTCTATATTAAAATTAATAAATTAATATTATTTTTTCCTTAATACAAAAATAACATAATATACAATTAATTACTTTTATAATTTTTATTTAGAAAAATAATACTGTTTTGTCTACTTTTTTAGTATGTCTTAAATTTAAGCTCTAATTTGGAACAACTATTACTTATTAAGAAACAGATTGAAAAACAATTGCAAAAAAACACTTCTGACTGTTTGAAAAAAATCACATCATAACTAAAAAATTCTCACCGCATCTAGTCATGAACAATGAGAAAATATGGATTCAGCGGAAGCTTTTTAAATTTTTTTTCAATATTCAGTTTCAGCAACGGGCTAAAACAGCAGTGTCATGCCACGCCGCGAAAGGGAGCGCAAAATATAGCTCAGAAAAAATTAAATGAACGAATGAAATAAATTTGTTTTAATTTAAAATATATGTACACCTAATCAAGAAAAAAACATCTTATTTTGGAGAAACTGCACATAGAACATAGCTTATTATAAATATCACCTAATTACATAATATGAAAATTTTTAATACATTTATTTTGAAGGGTCCGAGAAAATGACAAGTGGAATGAATTTTGAATGCTGGGGAGGCACATGGCAGGAGTTGCAGAATGCATGTGATGGGGGGAATCAGTGATTTTATCTTTTGTGGTATTTACAAACATACCACCCAATTCGTCATGTATTTCCATATCTAACCCAAGAAGTTGGCTTCTTACATTTATACCGCTCGAATCATAAAGCGAAAAAATAGATGTGCAATTAAATGATTTTTATGCTTGTATGATGAGTTGGGAGCATATTTTTCTTGGTATTTCCCAAAGAGTATAAAAGTTTTGGGGCTTTTATATATATTTACAACTCTAAACTTTCATATTTAAATGAATATCATTCAAATCTTTAATATCAAATAAAAAAATTAATTTTTAACTTGCTTTCTAAATGTGGACTGCATATTTTCATGCATGTATATAAAGGTAAATATAAAATTTTGTGTTAGATACATAAATATGCCAAATAAATATAAATCAAACACGTATAAACATGGATGAATTTCTCAATGCTACCTAAAAAGATCAAATGCCTTGCAAATATTGTGTTAATAAAGAAAACAAGCATCATGGTAAGACAAATCCAACAAATTGAATATATTTTCACTTCGAGACATCCTATTTGAGTCATTTGAATTCCAAATTGCTTATAAAAATACATAAATTTGTATTATTTTTACCTTCCTTGCTATAAATATACACAATGCACCTAATTAAAAACGTTATATTTTTTTTTAAATTGGTTGGTCAAAATATAATTCTAATATCAAATGTAATTTACACTACATGAATTTATGTTTTCTCCGACGATCACAAAACGTATGATGAGAAAAACTATTTTTTTTAATGTTGCTGACGGTTTTAGATTT